CTCTCTCAAATAAATAAATAAAATCTTTAAAAAAAATAAAAATAAAAAGCAAATACATTAAAAAAAAAAAAAACTGTTACTGTTTAAATGGCTTTGGACAGAAAGGCAGAAACTGAGAAGTCCAGAATTTAGAAAATCTGACTCAGAACCAAAACAAACTCAGAAGTAGCAACTTCTGAGCACGAGCATCAGGCTGACTTATGAACGTTAGCTTTACACAGCTAGACTCAGTTCTCTTTGCAAAGGTAAATAATAATAATAGTGTTGTTTTATGCTAAGTGACATCAGCCAAAAGAACATAAATACCATGGAACTGAAAAATATGATGAATGTGTCCTTCTCTCTGCTGGCACCTTTTGGTAACTACAATAGAGATCTACTTAGAGCTTTTGATTCCAAATTTCATGGAAGAATTGTTTTTATTACTAAGCTTCTGGAAATGATACTCGGCAGCAGGGTTAATCACGGGTCAGACACTGACGCCCTGGGAGAGCCTGGGTTCACCTGTGGATCTCCGTCCAACTGCTTCTGGTTCCACAGTCCTCCCACTTTGAAAGACAGTCGAGTGAGCAGTACGTATTAATAATCCAGTTTCCCTTTTTCCTCAAAGACCGACACCATTGCCAGTCAGAGCCCCTGGTCACTACGAGAGCCACGCGGACAGACTGAACTGGTATCACACCAGCCAAAAGAGTTGTATAAATTGATTGGGTTCAATAAAATGCGGAAACAAGCTTGTAGACCCCACTCCTAGCTTCATGGTCCCCCAGGGGATCGGGAGGCCCCCACGAGGGGAATGACTTCTTTTGCTGCTCAAATTGTAAATTCCAAATTTGGGTTGCTGCTGGCCTGCCTGGTAGCCATCAGGGGCGAATCTGAAACTGCTCTGCAGAGCCCCTGAGAGCCGCCCATTGGTTATATGCGATGCACAGCTCCAATCAGCAAACATAGTACAATAGTGCTTAACGCGGCGCTCAGAATGGAAAACACACAGCATCAGAGTGGTTTGGGTGGGCTGCCTCACTCTGCTTCTCAGGCATGGAGTTTATCACCAATCACTCTGGGCCTTCTTTGTAAATTCTTTCTTCAATCATACTTGCTGATGAAGCCTCCCCCACCCCTACCCCACATTTCTTGTATCTCCTTGGGCTCATGCATATGAGGTCAACTCTGGCCTTTGACACCTGTTAGAGCTACGTTACAGCCTGGATTGTGTCCTCCCTCCCAAATCCACATGTTCGAGTGCTACCCCCCAGTTCCTCCCAATGTGACTAATTTGAGACAGGGTCTTAACCGAGAAAATTAAGTTAAAATGAGGTCGTACAGGTGGGCCCCAATCTGATATGAAGAGGACACATGCGTCCTTATAAGAAGAGGAGATCAGACACAGACATGAAGAGGAAGGACCTGGTGAGGACACGGGGAGAAGGTGGCCGTCTGCACATGGAGGAGAGGGGCCTCAGGAGGAATCAGCCCTGCTCACACCTTGATCTCGGACTTGCAGCCTGGAGGACTGTGAATCAATAAATCTGTATTGTTTAAGCCGCCTGGTCTGTTACTTTGTTATGCCAACCCTAGTGAATGAATAGACCCTAGGAAGCAGACAGCACACGAAAATACCATTCAGGTTTAAAAAATATAAAACCGACAGACAGGTTTCCTTATTCAAAGTTGGATACCTGCTGGTCTAATGTGATGAACAGGATGCTTGGTATAATCTGAGAGGCAGTGGAGAAAATTCTACCAGTAACTATGGTTTTATTTGCATATACAAATTAAGTTGCAAATATCCCCAGAAAAATGCGGATAGGATTCTATTACTAGCAGCCTCATGGGATCCCGTGGAAGCAGTGAGGTCTTCCGCTGACATCTGGCTGAGATCAACCAGGCCGTGAGGAACGGGGGCTGTCATGGGTTTGGGAGCTCGGGGGGAAAGGAAAAGACGGAACTGACTGTGAAAACTGGGCAGGGAGCCACGTGTCCAAGAAAGAGAAGCACTGGACGACGGGGAGAGGCTGAGCCCTCCCTGGGGCCAAATGCACATCCCAGGCACGGGGCAGGATCTGCAGTTCTGCCTGCTTCTCAGATGCCCACAGTGAGCACCCAGCCTCCAGCGGGAGCTTCCCCTCTCTCGGGAGGCAGAGAGCAGATGGCTTAAGTGTCTGTGTGCCTCCCAAGGAAGGAGGCCGAGAGCCGGCCTCCTTGTCACCTCCCTCCTTGCTATGGTAAACAGCATCCCAAGCAGGACCCTACTGGACCACAGCCTCCATATCAATTACATCTGCTTCACAGAAGAGCAAAGCGCTTCAGACAGCAAATGCTTTCCTCTTCCATTCTCCATGCGCTGTGCTATGCAAACCACAGACTCGGTGGCTCTCTCCCGGAAGCCCAGAATAGTCTGAGCAGGCAGGTGAACACTGGTTGTGCCCTGGCGCTCAGCACCAGGATTCTGCATGACTGCAACCCACAGAACCGCCCTCCCACCGGCCCCGGGCTCCCTGCCGACCGTACGCCTGCCCTTCTAGGTCATCCTTCTGACACCCCCAACAGAGTGCTGCAACCTTCCTCGGACAGAAAAGGAAACAAAACCACGGACACGAAATGACATGCACAAAGCCACACTGACTTAGGGAAATGCCTAGAATCTTCCTGACGGTAAGAGAAACGAAGGAGCAGGGTATGTACGATGTACGGCACTGAAATCATTACGAAGCTGTACATATCACGGGAGCAAGCACATAATCAAACATTTGTAGCAGCTGGGCAACATTCATGCACGTGTACATCCTAGCAGCCCGTCAGGATTGGATGAAAGTTAAAAATGAAGTGTCACTTGAAGATGGAAGATGCACTTAATATTCTAAAAATAGGTTCACTGCTATCTTAATTCTTCCCAGGATGATAATCCTTCCAATCTCCCGTTTGTTGCTCTAACATCTGCCGTCTCCAGAGCCTGAAACACAGTCTACTTACTGACCACCAGTTTTTGAAAACAGGAATCAGATAACAGTTCCCCCATCCCTGCACACAAAGACAGTTTCTTGGCAGCCCGCACTTGGCGGTGAGTTACGAAAACAGAAGTTTGAATTCTCCCTTCTCTCTGCCATCTCAGGTCAATGAATGGCCACCTGGTGATGTGTTCTGGCTTTTTAGATCAAAACTGCAATAACTCCTCAGCCGACTTCACCAGACTCTTTTAAGAAATGACTATAAAACTACATACAGTGTGAACGATAAACGTGCTTAGTTAAAAACTAACGGCTTGCATTTGTTCTCGCAACTCCTAGATTTTCTTACAAGCCCAGAACTCAAGAGATTTAGTTTGTTGGGCCCATGCCTACAGCCCTGCCCCAGGCCAACAGGGAAGGTCCTGCCTCTGGGTTTTGCCAGGACCTTTGCCTCCACACTGAAACATCTGGAGAGGCAGATGTTTCCCACTAGTCAGAGAGCATTTTGAGGACAGGGTTCCTACCTCACTCAGGGTATATGGTCAGGGCCTGGTTCATATGAGTTTCATACGAGTTTCTCAACAAATTTGTCTTTCTTTCTCCAAAGGGCCGGAGTGAACAACTGTGCTAACCAGGCGGGCCTGGAGATGCACTCAGGGCATCAGGTTGGGAGAGCTGCAACAAGACTTAGCTGGCCCCTTAGCTTGCAGATGAGGAAAAAGGGGACAGGTGCTTTGTGGCTATCATGCAGCAGGTTAGTGGCAAGGCTAGGATGGACACCCATGTTCCCCTGACTCTAAATCCAGCATTGTTTCTATACTTTGTACCTTATCTCCAGATCCGTCCTTCCCAGCTTTCTAGTTCTACAACCCTGGGGACTTATTCCTGAAATTCATTCAGTGCCCTCACATCCTGGGCATCTCCTGAATGTGCAGATCTCAGAGGCTGGGTTCTGGGGGACTTCTGCCTTCTCTGCTCAGCTTGGGGGGGAGCTGCAGGCCCCAGGATGCCCCCTTCTGCCCAGGAAACCTCCCATGTGCCAAAGCAAGGCCACGTCCAGCAGGCCATGGGTTGAGGCTCCCTTGGGGGGGGGGGGTCCAGATGGAAGGCTGTGCATTTCTGTCCAGGCCACCAGTGAGAGGCCAGGCTGTCAGAGCTCCCCAAGGGGCCAGCACATGCACGGGCCAGTATCTCCATCCAAACCTGTGCCCCAGTGGGGCTGGGCTTTTGTTTCACATAGAATGTACGGGGAAAGCGGGCACTGGGGAGTATAACCCGCTTGGCCTGGCACAGGAGTCTGCTTAACGGCTACCTTGCCTTCACCACGTTATTTAAAGATTCTGTGCCTCAGTTTCCTCTTCTCCATTAACTGGAGATCATAAGTAATAATCTCTCTCATGGCATGGTACGAGGTTTAACTAAGGTAATGCACGTGGAAAATGCAGCCTCAAGCCTGCCACAAGGTAGGCATTCGGGGGATGGCCAGCGCTATTAATATCCTTACTAGTCCTCACCTAAAACAAAACAATTTTTACCCACAAACTAGGCTTCTTGTTCTTGCCCTCCACTATGTGTGTTGGCATCCAATGAGGAGGCATTTTCTTTGCCTTTTCATTTTTTAGAACATCTGCATGATACCCCACCACGTAATCTAGGGAAATGGCTTATTTATATGACTAGTCTTCCTTAATTAGCCATTAGCTGAAGGATATATCCCAAATGGCACGGCAAATTACCCTGTGTTTGAAAACAGGTTGAGCATTTCAGCGGCAACACTTTTAAATTAGGAGCAGCGGATTAACATTAACGGTACAGCCAATAAGTGCTCAGGCTGTCCCTTCCGGGGCCTCGGGCCTCACCCTCTCCCTACCCTTTTAAGGCGAAGACCAGAAGATCGAAGGAATGAATGTGGATCGGCCACATTGCTTTAGAGATTACCTCCGCACTGACAGGGAGATCGTGCTGAGGGGACGCGAGCACAGCGCTGTCCGCCTCTGAGAACCAGAACGCGCCTCTTCTCCAAAGTAGGGGCGCATAGTGCACAGAGAGGTTTCACCCCGCGGTGGGAGGTGCAAAGTGGCCCGGCGGGCGCTGGCCTCTTACCACGAACTCCTCCAGAGTCTGGTAGGTCTTGCCCCGGAACTCGCAGTAGTTCTTCCTCTCCTTGCACTGCGGGCAGCACTGGCTCGTGTCGACGTGGATGCAGCGCGGGTGGAGCCGCGGGCACTCGGGCTGCGCGCACAGCGGCCCCTCCTCGGTGCACAGGCACGGGCAGGCCGAGGGGCCCGGCGCGAACTTCTCCCCGATGGCATACACGAAGCCGCTCTCATCCACGCAGCCCTTGCCGCGGTAGTCCGGGTACGCGTACTCCTCGGGCGGCTCGGGCGTGGGCGCGAGGTCCGGGCCGGTCGCGTCCTGGGCGGCGGCCGGGGGCTCCCCCTGCGGGGTGTCCCCGCGGG